GATTGAAAGTCTATCGATGTTGCACATCTTTCGAGTGCAGTTGGAGGGTTTAGTGTTTGCTTAGCGATTAATTGTGTTTCTTTTTTGTAGCATTTATTTATTTAAAATTTACGTCTTTTAGTCGATATTATAAGCAGTGCCTTTTGCTTTAGATCTTTGGACATTTTTGATTTATACTGATTGTAACGAGGAAAAACTTTTACTCGAATCGCTTCACAGAAACTGAGTAAATTCACAGAAAACAGTTGCAAATTTTCTTAACACAACTTGAAGTCATAAGGCTCAGAATGAATTATAAGTAACTTTGTTCAACTACGTCATTCTAATTACGGTATTAAGCAACTTTCTTTCGAAACTTTGAGTCAATAAATACGGTAAACTTGTCTAGATGCTTCATCCGCCATCTGAGCATCTTGAAGCATTTCCATTTTAAAGATCAATTTTTTTCTCTTTACTGGAATTTTGTATTCCAATGCTGAACAAAGATTGAATAAGAAAGCAGTTTAATTAAGTAAAGAGCATTAGAGCATTGGATTGAGTAAGATTCAGTATGACTCGATCGAGTTTTGCAACTTTTTCAGCAAAACTGAGTTGAACTTTTAATGCGACTTTCAATGTTTTGCCATATTTAGTGAAATGCAAAGCTTTTGTCATTGGATCTAAATGGTTGAAACAGTGCGTCTGGAAAAGACAATGATCAAGCAATAGAAGACCAAAGGCAAAGTTATTCATCGACCTTCATGATGAAAATAGCGAAAAGAGAAAAAAAATCCTTGAAAGTAAAGGAAGATTCAGACGAAAGACTAACACAGAGAGATGAGAGACAAGGAAGTTAATTAATAAATTATTGGAAAGGAAAAAAAGGATGAAATTAAAAATGGAAATGAACAAATGTAAAGATTGCAAGTAACAGACAGAGAAACATATGATTCCTGGAGAATCATGTGATTCAAGTGAATCTTGTGAGTTTGCCTGGACGTGTAATGATCATGTTGATGATCAACTGATTGATTTTCTCGTTTCACCAGTTAAATCATCAATATTGGAACCAGAAAAATGGTAAGAAAAGCAGCAGCACAAAAAAAAGAGTAACAACAACAGAAAAAATGGCAAAACTCGAAAGCAAAAGGAAGCAAAAGATCAACAACGAAAACGCTATTTTTGAGTTTAAACTTTTTTTAGGTTTGCACAACTAATGGCAGTGTGTTGGTGTTGAAAAATGTGAACAATCTGATCACCAACTGAACACGGAAATTTAGATCATTCTTCCGGTTGCAAGAGCTTCTGATTTGCGTTTGTAAACATTGCAGGCGATGAAACGAGTGTTGTTCAAGTGCAAAAAATGAATCAAAAATGCAAACAACAACAAAATTCATTGAAAAAAAGTCATTTTTTATTCCTGAATCAACTTTTCTCTTTCACTGAGCCTTTAGTTATTTTTGTTTTATCTGCTAAAGATGATGACCATTGTTGCTGTTTATTGTGTTGTTACAGGTAAATGACCAGTTGAACTTATTTCGGTATCAAGATAATTATCATTATTTGCATTCATTTTTGTTTTGCTCTTCTCTTCTCTTTCGCATTTTCCTTTCTATTTACAATGTAGATCAACAATGAAACCAGAATGGAATTGAATAAACTCTTTTGGGTTTGTTACAGTTTTTCAGAGTCTAATTAATCAATGTTAAAGTGTTATGAGTTTTTGGTAACCAAGATACAATTGAAACTGAACGTTTTGTGTGTTTCAGTGAGAAACAAGTCTTTTAAATTGACGTTTCCAGTCTCATTATTGGCTAAATTACATTATTAGTACTTTATTGGGATAATTGACAATTAATCAACCAACTTGAATTAGGTGTGAATAAACTATTGAAGAGGTTTATTGATTTGTAAAGTAAAATATGTTTGGTTTTCAGTTTTCACTTTTGTCCTTTGACTTGTTTGGTTGTTGATTGATTTGATGATTTAATACAAATTTATGAATACGATTCAAGTGTAATGTTCAAGTAATTACAGCGTGATATGAGTAGACTGAGAATGGCAACAAAACACTGTAATAATAATAAAGAGAGAATCAAGGAAATCTTTGGTGATAAGTAGTCAATGTGATGATGAGAGTGATGAAGAAAAGGAGGAAAAGTAAAAAAAAGACAGAAAATCAATAATCAAGAGATCATGTGATGGAAAGAAATAATAGCAAGATTGGAAAAGAACGAAAAGAATTGGGAAAAATGGTTAACAGAAAAAGGACAGAACTATTGGACAGATTTAAGTTTCATCTTGTCTTCATGATCGTCTTCTTGCTACTTTTACTTCATGAGATTCTTATTACTGAATGAATTGCAATGATCTTTACAAGTTAAAAAGACAATAAATTGGAGCGAAAAAAAAGAAGGCAAAAAGAGACCAAAAAAAACATTGAACAAGAATCTTTTGTCAGATTAGAGTTGAATCAAAGAGGATGATCAAGATGATCAGGATGATGAACATGATGATGGAAAGATATTTTGCTTCTTTTGCTGATCTTGATTCAAATGCTTTTTTATCGTTTTAATGGTTAAGGTGGAAAGTTCGGTGTCTAGGTTGACCTAAATCTGGGTTGAAGAGAAAACTGAAACTGGCGAAAAAAAGGGAAAATTCATTTGTTCACAAATAGCGATTTGGTGCAACAAGAAACTGTCCAAGTCTAAACTGAGACTGATCAGCCTTTTAATCTTCCACCTCCATGAAAATTTTCATCATCACTATCATTATTATTATTAACATTATCATCAACCAGCCACACCAATTTTGGTTCAATGAGGTAAAATGAAGCTACAAAGTGTGATGATGTTGAACAAAAATAAGTTTTTTTTAAAGGATAGGTTAACATCGTTCAGATCACTTGCATGATACTGAGTAAGAGAGAGAGAGAGAAAGAGAAGAAATAATAAGATGATGATTTGAGTGAGCAAAAGAAAAGAATGAAAAAGAAAGAAAAGAAAGAGTAAAAATGAGTTTTGACGGGAGGCAACGAAACAGGAATTCCGAGCTCATCTATTCTGATTGTGATGCATGGTTATCCTCTTTATCTTCATTCGGCCGAGTCTCTCTTTCTCTCTCAAACAGGGATGTCTTCAACTAACCATTCTTCATCTTGTTCATCATCTTGTTCATCATCATGTTGCCCCTTGTTTGAGCCCCTCTTCTCATTTACCTTCAGTTTACTTGTTTCTTCACTACTTTTCTTACTTATCCCCCTGTTTGACTGTTTAATGCACAATCAGTCAATCATCATTATCATCAATGCTATGTGGTTTCATCTTCTTGTCCCTCTTTCATCTCATCATCATTTCCTTACGCAACTAAACTTGTTCTCATAATTTACTAATAACAATGAATCTTGTTTTGCTTTCATTTAGCCACTGCATTTAACCATAATTGCCAAAGTTGTTCATCATTTTTTGTAACTCGCGCTTCAAGACTTTAAAAGGCAAATTTAGACTGACTTTTGTTTGAAAATGTTTAAACAGCTTTTAACTGAATCTTTACCACTCTTGAGATCATTTTGTATTGATGGTTGAATTTGTCAAAATTAAATAACATTTAAATTGTCTTTTGTCATTTAAATTTCATTTGATTGCGATTAATTGAATAAATTTGAGAGGTTTTGTGTGTTTTTTGTTTGCATTTTTTCGTTTTATGGTCATTGATCTTTTGTTGTTTGTAGTTTTTTGTTTTCTTATTTGCTACACTTTTATAATGATTTTAAATACAATTCAATTATTTACAAAGATTTAGGCTCTTTTCTTGGGTAAGAAAGAGTTGAAGGGGTTTTGTTTAAAGTCGCCTTGTTATGTATTAATTTGTGAAGGTTGTTGTTGGTCTCGTTGCTGTGTATATACAGTATACATCTTTTGGAGTTCATTTTGTTTACTTGTCCCGATTATTACAATTATGTTGCTGATGTGATGATGATATCTCTCTGTCTTTCTTTTGGTTGTCTCTCTTCTCGTTTCTCAGTAAGGTTTCAAAAGTAGAGAAAAAAAAATTAGAGAAAAGAGAGGAAAAAGACACGATTGGCTGAATAATAGGAAAGGAGGAACAGGAAAGAAAGAGAGAGAAAGAGAAAAGGAGAAAGAGAAGACAGTAAAAACTGACTTTTATCCGTTCGATTAACAATACTGACTAAGAGAAGCATCAATAGAGAGAGAAAGAGAAAGAGAGGAAAGTAGACAGATAATGGAAGCAGGAGAAACAGATCGATGAAGAGAGAGAGAGGCAAAGGAAGAGAAAGAAAGGGAATAGGAAGAAAAGAGGGAGAAAAGGGAGAGAGACTAGAAGAAAAGAGAAGAGAAAGAGAAGAACAGAATGTATTTTGCTTTCCTTGAACTTCTCTGTCTTCCCTCTGAATCTCTCTCTGCGCCTTTCATTTTACAATATTTGTCTCTCTCTCTTTCTTTACTTTCTATGTATGTTTACATGCCTTTTCTGATGTATAAGAAAAGTTCGTAGTAACCCAAAAACCAGGAAGAGGAGGGAAGAAAAGAGATGGCAATGAAGAGAGAAAGCGAGAGATGTAGAGAGAGACCTTTGTGTCCGTATGTTTTGCTCGAGTTTGCTTGCAGGTAGCAAATGATAATATAAAGTTCATCTCTTTTTGTCTTCTTTTTCTTCTTGTACAGTTGTTGTTGTTGCTGCTGCTACTTCTCCTTGCTTTTCGAGATGATAATCCTCATCATTTTCCTCCTTTGGTAAGATTCGTTAGAGGCTTGGAGGAAGAAAATGTTATTTGGAAGATGCGTTATTATTATTATCATTATTATTATTACAGTTGAACAGTTTATTTCGCTTTTTATCAGGCAACAAGAAGAAGCAAAAAAAAATAGAAACAAGACTCAGTTTCCTCTTTACTCTTTTCTCTTTCTTTTCCTCTTGGTGTCCCTTCTTGGGTTTTGATTTACTTTTTTGCACATCCATGTAATATTTGCTTCACTTTATTTGAGGAATATTTATTTTCGCCTCTTTCATCAACTTCACCAATCCAATTGCGAATGAAAAGTGAACACATTGGAGAAATGAAAAGCTCTCGACATTTGTCCTTTGCCTGTTGTATGGTATCAGTTTTAAGTTGAGATCAAGGATGAAGGAGAAACAAAAAATGAATACTTTGCATATATTGTTTTCATGTTTGCACCAAATATATACATCGAGTCAGCTGCATTGTTAGGGTGTAATGATGGAACCAGAAAAAAATGAAGATAACTTGTTATCCACCAAAAAGAATCCAGATCACCACTTGATGAACCTTCATTACAAGCGTTTATTCATCTTCAAATTTTTGCTCCTTTTTTGTTGCGCTATTGCTCCAGTCTTTCATATACAACGTATGTATATAAATAAAGTGTGTGTATATATATCGTCTTCCTTCCGTCTTGCGACTTTCTTAAGAACCATTTGTGCCGGTGACCTCAACTCTCTTCCTGCCTCCCTCCATTTATTGTATCATCAACGACGCGCGAGCGCAATGACGCGCGACTCAAAACACGTTTGGCTTTTTAAGATAATGATAAGAGCAACAAGATGATGAAAAAAACACCCGGCGTAATGGTTGATACTTTTGCTCCCTTAAATTCATCTCTCGAGTCTTTCTTTTCTTTCTTGTTCGCCTTCTTTTTGCTTCTTTGATTGCCTTCTGCTACTCCTTCTTTGTCCTTACTTTTCTTGCTTTAGCTGCTTCTTTTTTGCTCCTTAATTCATCTTAAACTCTCTGCTTATCCTTTTGACACTCTCCTTAATACAGACACACAAATATATATACCTCTTTATATTTGTATATATATACATGCATGGCTATATATAGATACAGATGTATATAAATATATACACACATCTTTTGTCAAGCTTTTTACTTTAGACGAATCACCATCTTGCTCCTCTCTTTACACCAAATTTTCAGAACACTGTTTTGTTGTTATTGGTGTTGTATGTGCGTGTTGGTTTGTTTGAAATGTTACGTTGCTTCCATGACGGGACTTGAAGAGATGTTTAAAGATGGCTGGTGAACATCGAGAAAGTGAAACGAAAAAAACAATCTTGTCCTCTTAACAATGATTCGTCCATCGCTCGGTAAAGAGAGGAAAAATATATATTTCTTTATAAATATATTTATATTTATATCAGCTGAAGAATAGCTCGAAATATTGTTGACATTAAGAGCAGCAATGAGAGAGAGAGAGTGAGGGAGGGAAGAAAGGTTGGGAAAGAGTTAGATGTACACATATATTTATATATTTACATCAGCAAAATGATAAACCATCAATGGCCTTCATGCTTTTTTTATTTTCAATAACAAAATTAACAGCGACAACAGCAGCGGCAGGGGGAATGATTATGACGATTGTGATAAAGATGATTTCTTGATAATGTTCATGAGGATGATGATAGTGAAGATGGTGATCATGATGATGTTCAGGATGGTGGTAATGATGATAATGACAATGTTGTTCATCATTATTTACTTAGTTGTTTCAACTTGAGAGAGTCGTTAGTGTTTTAAATGCTTTCATTTATTTGTTTCTTTTTTCTTGTTAAAAGCACAGTTGCGACCAATTGTTTTTTGATAATAAGTTATCGATGAAAAGGTTCAAATTTCGATGGTTGCCAATTTTGTAATTTTATTTACTTTGCAGAAGTTTAATTGTCTTTTCAATGTGTTTGGACTCTGTTCTGGACCAACAAAAAAAAACATTGAACATGCATCTCACTGTCAAAGTGGAAACGTTTTTTCGTTTTTAGCATTCCATTCATAATATTATTTATACATTTACAAGGGGAAAAAAATCTTTGCAAGTTATCCGATAAAATCTCTTGCTGTTCAATAACTCCAGATTAAAGGGCATGCAGCTTGAGTGTCTTTCCGATGCATCTTTGTTTGGGTTTGCTTTCAACGATTCTTTATAATTTATAATTTGTACAGTGGAAAATACTGGCCAAGATTTACATTTCATCCGTTCGAAACTAAGCTCATGTTTCGAGGAAGGAAAGTATATCGTCATTGTCAGATGATAAGTTTGTTGATGGTAATGAACTTGAATTAAGTAAATTACTACTAGATGATGAACTTGTCGATGATGTCATAGCGAGGGAAGCTGTTGTTTCTGGGGTATCCAGGTATGATAAAATCTCCATTGGATCAACAATGTTTTCAGGCAAAAGCTATTGATAATGAGAAGAGGAGAGAGAAAAGTTAGATAAAAAAAAGAGTTAGAGACGAGTATAAAAAAGATGTTTGCACTTAAAATGTTTCACAAATAATGGAGTGTGAAAGGTACATGAAAACAAGTAATTAAACAAAATGATGAAAATTGATATTTACATTAAGTCCTTCTTGTCCTTGTCCTTCGCCATCGATGACGGCAGCAGGATCAAAATTGAGATCACCAAGATCGGTATTAATTGAATTGTTGTTGTTACCACTATGGCTACTTGAATTGCTTGCATTGCTTCCCGGATTATTGTTGACTGGATCACCATTTGAGTTGGGAGTTACATTTGCACTGCTCACTGACGGTGGACCCATGTTACTTGGTGTGTGTGGGGTATGAGGAGTGTGAGGTGTATGCGGAGTGTGCGGTCCATTAGGTATTGATGATAATGAACCGTTGGAACCATTGTTGGAGCTATTGGAGCTCAAAGAGGAACAATTTTGAGAGATGGAAACAGAATCAGATGACTGAGATTGATTCTGAGATTGGTTGGATTGTCCGACAGACTGTTGCGATTGATTATTTTGCTGAGATGTTGGTGCACTCGACGTATGCTGAGGATGAGAATGAGATTGATGAGAAGATTGCTGATGAGGTGGGTGCTGATGTGATTGCGGATGAAGATTTTGTTGCTGTGATTGTTGTTGCTGTTGTTGTTGCTGCTGCTGTTGCTGCTGCTGTTGTTGTTGTTGTTGTTGATGAGGGTGAGGATGAGGATGAGGATGAGGCTTGATTGGTGGTGGTTCATATGATTATGGTGGTTTTGAGGTGATTTATGATTATGATTAATACTATTTATATTTGAAAAATTTTCACTATGAGAAGCAAAGTCATGTTGTGATAATGTTTTCTCCATAGCCGCCAATGGATCAAGAGGATTGTCAGATGTTGATGAAATGGAGTTGGGCAGATGAGGGATTGTACCATATTCATTACCTGTAGGTTGAAAATCAAATGGTGAACCATTTTGCATCTCGGAAATACCGGTTAATGACGGTGGGTAACCTGGCCCAGTGGCGGTTAAACTTGTGCCAGATGATCCTATTACTCCTCTCGGTAAACTTGTAGGAACAACGTTTGTAGCTGCTAGTCCTTGTCCCATTTCCCAAGAATTAGAGGTTGGTGGCATTGATGAACTAGTTGGTGACATTGCCTTCAAACGTTTATTATTCTTTTTAGTAACCGCACTAGTATTGGTGTTGCTGTTGTTGATACTGTTGTTGTTGTTGTTGGCAGCAATGGCCATGGAAGTTGATGTAATGCAATGAGATCCAGTAGAATCAGGTTCCTCTTTGAAACGTTGATTATGATTCAATACTGCCATACTTGTTGAACTTTCTTTAGACGCGACAAATTTCCAAGTGCCTCCAGCTTCAATTGCTATCTCTTCAGCACCAGGACTGTGTTTAGTCATGTTTGATAAAATACCCCAAATAAATTGATCAATTTCAATGTTGTCAAAATTAACGTAATTATCACATATTGGACATTTCCATCTGGATCTTTCAGCATTCATGATTAAATAACTTTCCAGGTCAAAACACTGAATATGTTTACATTCAGAGCCGCGCGCAGGAAAAGATATTATTTTACGACTTATGGGACATTTTAGTGATACTTTAATGGTCGTTGGTTCAATTCCGGAACAATCATCAACCGGAGTAATCGGAGGTGTCCTAATACTATGATGAGAATAGGTTGAAAAAAGAGAAGAAAAAAAAGAAAATCAGTTAATTTGTTTGAATGCAATAAGAAAATATGATTTCTACACAATCAAGACCTTGGAAAAATCTTGAGGAAGATCGTAAAGGACACAGAAACATTGATTATGGCTGTTTGTAAATGAATGGATGGTTCATACAAATGTATATAAATAAAAAAAAATGTGTTGTCTCTCAAATGTTCAGTGTTGTAAGTTAACTTTATTTGCTAATTGCTGTTAACTAGTTTTTGTTTCAGAGGAAATTCAAGTAAATTAACATCACCACTTAGCTAAATAAATCTGTCTTCTGCTTCTCGCTCACTACAAGTTTACTTTCGTTTATCTTTCTCTTCTCGGTCTCTTATGTTTTCTTAGAGTCACAATTCTAGTTATGAGTAACAAGCCACCCAACTCCCCCTTTTCCTCTTGTATCGTTTTCGCTTCTTCATATTCTTCTGCGAATTGAAGAAAAATTGTAATCGAGGTTAAAAGAAGGAGGAGGCCGTTGAAATGGTAAGAAGAAAAAAGAAAGTAAAGAGAGACGAAAAGAAAGCTGTTGTAAACACGCGAAAAGATACGGTTTGTACCATGTTTAACCAGAAATGTACCGCTCACAATATTTCAAGGGCTTAAGGGTTTGGCAATTAATTGTTAATATTGAGTGTGTGCGTGTATTGATCATGGTTCGAGGTTTACAAGAAGCTGATGAAGTTTCTCATGTTAAAACAATATTTTTCACGACGGAAGAGAGAAAGAGAGAAAGATAGTGAGAGAGCAAAAGTTGGTGAATGAGATTTAAGTAGAGAATGTGTGATATCATAAAGAGATACAGAAAAGGCGTGAAAGACTTGAGTTGTTTGTTCTTGTCTCTTTTAAATATTGCTCTCAGTGTGAACACAAGATTGATATTACAAGTAAAAACAGCTTATTGTACACAAAATTCACAAGTGAAATATTGATAGTTAAAAATAGGGTTATTCTGTTATGAATTAATTAACTTACCAAGAGTAGGTTGAATTGTTGATAAATCGGTTATTTGAAAAGTTGCGTTTAATCTTTTCAATAGCAATATCTGGATTAATGAGTTTTTTTGACACAATACTTTGAATGGCGCTGTTTAATGTTGGTCTATGGACGATTTGTAAGGTAAATAAATGTGAACAGCAGCAACTAGACACAGTAATTGTAATTGTATTACGACCAGGCCGGCAAACAGATCTTAAATTGAGTGGTCTTTGAACTTCACTAGCATGAATAATTAATGGATGATTATTAACAGATATTGCACAGTCTGATTTGGCGGCCAGTTTGGCTGCATTAATGCATCTTGATGTTGAAAACACTTTAACTGTACTTCAAAATCGGGACGTGTTGTAAGAGAATTGTAAAGATCATTTTTAAGTTCAAATTCAACATTGCTAACACAGTCATTGTGAGGAAGACGAAAAGGTTGTAATAAAGTTCCATCTCGAAGGGGTAAAGTTAAACGAATTTCGTCATCTTTGGAAGGAATAGGAAGAGTAGGTTTAATATCCATACTCATACCACCAACCATTGTCGTTGGACATGGACCAGGAGTTACTGGACCACCTACACCATTCATTAAACCAGGACCAGCGTTGCCGTTGGCAGTGAAGTTAGGCTTGATATCGGCAGGATAGGGTTGCTGCATTCCAGACGCTGGTGTCAACGGTGGTGTTGGATTACCGGGAATAGGTAAATGTTGATTGTATTGAATGTTGGTTCCACCTTGTCCAGAATTTCGATTATTATACTGATTAATCACAGGTCCGGTAATGTAAGGTTGTTGTTGCTGTGGTTGTTGAGGTTGTTGTGCTTGGTGGTGGCGATGGAGATGCATTGATGATGGCTGTTGATGGGATTGAGGTTGATGCATGTGGGGATGTTGGTGTTGTTGGAGAGGTTGTTGGTGAGGTTGGGGATGTGGTTGTTGGAGAGGTGGTTGATGGGGTTGTTGGTGAGGTTGAGGGTGAGATTGTTGGTGAATTTGTGGGTGAATTACAGGATGAGATTGTTGATGGGGTTGTTGGTAAGGTTGTTGTTGAATCGGTTGTTGATGGGTTTGTTGTTGAAGAGCTGGCTTTTGATATTGAGATGCATTCATTGGCATGTAACCTCTGGAATCAACAGTCATTGATCCATTATAACTGTTGATTGGTGTACCCGAATTTGGATTAGCATTGTATTGAATGTTTGTTCCGCCTTGTCCATTCCGACTATTGTACTGATTAATCACAGGTCCTGCAATGTAAGGTTGTTGTTGTTGTGGTTGTGGTTGTTGTGCCTGGTGATGGCGGTGAAGATGCATCGATGATGGTTGTTGTTGATGTGGTTGAGGTTGATGATGCATGTGTTGATGTTGATGTTGATGAGGTTGCTGGTGAGATTGTGGATGAATTTGTTGGTGAAGTTGTTGGTGAGGTTGTTGATGAAGTTGCTGATGAATTACAGGATGAGATTGTTGATGTGGTTGTTGATGTGATTGTTGATGAGGTTGTTGGTATTGTTGTTGTGGATGAGGTTGCTGAAGAGTTTGCTGTTGAAGCGTTGCTTTTTGATCTTGCGATGAATTAATTGGCATATAACCTCTAGAGTTAACAGTCATTGATCCATTGTAACTGTTGATTGGTGTACCGGAGCCATTGGCATTGTACTGAATGTTTGTTCCACCTGGTCCAGGATTACGATTATTGTACTGATTAATCACAGGTCCTGTAACATAAGGTTGTTGTTGTTGTTGTTGTTGAGATTGTTGTGATTGTTGTGGCGCCTGATGATGGCGGTGGAGATGCATCGTTGATGGTTGTTGTTGTTGATGTGGTTGAGGCTGATGGTGTAAATGTTGATGAGGCTGTTGATGCACAGGAAGGTGTCCCTGATGATGTCCAGGGTGATGACCTGGTCCCCCCGCAGGTCGGACTGTTTGTGGTCCATGATGTCCAAACTGAGTATACATAGAATTATATATATAATATAATATGTTTTTCTGTATATAAGTTGTTATTTAGACTTGTAATGTAGACTGAGCTTTCTTCAGATACCGAGTTAACAACTTTGGTTATTCAAAAGAATCAAAACCAGTAAGAATAAGGGAGCTACAGAAAAGAGGGAGACTGTAAAGGGAGACTGTGAAGGGAGAAAAGGAAGAGATAGAGAAAGATAGAGAGGGAAAGATAGAAAGAGATGAAGAGACATGTAGAGAGAGAGGTTAAGGAGCATGTTGAAAAAAAGAGAAAGAAGAAGATAAAAGATAGAACATTGAATGTGGCGACTTCTCAATTTCTCATCATGAACTAACGCTCAAGCTTACTCTTTCCTCTCTTTCCTCTCTTGAACATAGCTGTAGGTAAAGAAGAAAGAAAGAGAAAAAGAAAGACTTGAAATATAAACTTACAATAAACTGAAACGTTTCTTAACTTCACCTTCTAGTAAAGTCCGGTAAAGATTTACCTTGTTCTACCACAGGATATATATATTTTAACCCCTAACATCTTTCTCTTCTCTCTTTCTCTTCTCTCTTCTCTCATCTTGTTCTTCTTGTTCTTCTTGTTCCTCTCATTCTTCTTCACCCTCTTTCTCTCTCTTTCTCTTCATTTGGTGTAGTACCAACAAAATTCAGGTAAGCTAAAGTTTACTTACCTTTTATTTCAAGTGTCCTAAATAGACCACTCCTTTTTTACCAAAAAAAATGATGATATGAGAAAGAGAAAGAAAGAGAGAGAAAAATGTGAAAGGCAAAAATGGTTTAAACATAAAACTATGGACTTTTCAAGTTGTTGTGAAAGAGTCAAATAACCGATCCAGAAAAGTGACCTGAAAATATTTCTCTTTCTCTTTCTTCTCTCTTTACTCTTCGAACTCATAATCATCATACTTATCTTCCAATTTGCCGATTCTTAACCTAGTAGCCTTTATAAACCAATGGCTAAAACAGAGATTTTGTTTTCTTCTTTTCTCTTCTTCTTCTTCTCTTTTCTTCTTTCTCTTGTACTTGTTACCTCAACGGACTAATACAAATCTTCTCTTTCTTTTCTTGTTTCCCTCTTTCTTCAGTGTGGTCAAAGCGCTATCCTGAAAGTCATTTTCTGTTAAAGAAAACAAACATTCTTTCCTTGAAAAATTCCATCGCCGGTTTTATTGGTCAAACGCTTTCTTCTCACTTTTGTACTTCATCTTCTTGACCTTTTTCACCTTGACCATCACAGCGTCTTAACGAGTTACAATAGGTCACTTTGGGTCCAATGAAGCTCCTTGAAAAAGGAAAAGTTAAAATTTAAAACCAAGTAAAACTGTTAATTGTCAATAATTTAGATTAGTTTAAATGGCCGCTAATTAGCAATCTTTTTTTGTCACCCAACTTTCACAGTCAATAATTAAATAGTAAACCCGATTAGCCAAATTATGTTAATCCCGTAAACCCATTTACCAGTCAATCTCTCAATGATTAGTGAACAGTAAAGTTGATTAACATTTAATCAACAATAAAGCGCAAAATGATGACCTTAATTTAATCCACTTGAAAGGCGAGTTACAAAAAGGTAAATTTAATAGACATTTTGTTTATCGGAAGTTCCCATAACAAACAGTCAACCTTTGCCCTTCCTCTTGAGGTTACCTGTACATTGAGGTTATGTACTATCTCATAGGAAAATAAAGTAAAGGTAAAAATAATGTAAAGAGAAGGAAAAAAATTTATCGTTATCATAAAGGTAAAAGACGGAAATCGTTGAGAAGCGCAACTTGAAAGAGCCTAACCTTGCGACCTTAAGCACCTTCGTTCTCCCTTTAAAGTCAAAGATGATGATCAGAGGATGAGGATGAGGACAGGAAGAAAATTCTGTGAACTATTGATCTTTTTTTCTTCTTCTTCTGGTCACAGTTTCCTTTACCAAAGCCTGGGTTGATCTACATTCCGTTGGAACGTTTCGTCGTAAACATTTCCTTTCTCTTTTCCTTTCTTCTTGTTGCTTTCATTCCGAAAGCGAAGAGAGAAAAAAATGATCTTTTTCTTCATCTTCTTCTTCCTCTGTCTCTTCCTTTGCTTCCTTTTTTTTCTCGTCTTTTTTTGTACTTTGCTTGACCCTCAATACAAGACCTTAAAGGTTGACCAGTGATGAACTTTGTTGTGGCCTTAAACTCGAGGTTAGCCTTTGGCTTTTATCTTTTTTTCCTCTTCTTTATCATCCAAAAACTATTTTACTTTTTGCTTCTTCTTCTTCTTCATCATTCGTTTAAAGGCTCTTTCAATGTTTTCTTGTGAGTTGTTGTTTTGCCCGTTTTTTGTTATGTTTTTGTAAGCCAAGGTCGAATATTTGTTAACGTCTTTACCAAAAGTATATATTGAGTCCAGGTCAAGCTCAAAGGGCCAAAAATAAGACTAGAAAAGGCAGGTTAAGTCGCACTAGTTCACTTCTTAAGAAGACTTTGAAGGAAGATAAAGTCTACCAAAATTTACTAACCTCCGGTTGGACAAAAGGTTGTCACATTATTCACCTTTTCCTTTCTTTGTCATCATCTTCTCATCATCTTCTCCCTTTCCTCTCTGCCCTTTCAATGGTCGACACAAGACACTAAATAAAGTGCAAAAGCGTCCAAGATAAAGATGAAAAAATCTTTTCTCCCATTTCCTTGAAAATAGTTTTTCACAACAAAATACTTCAAGATGAAGATGACAAAAAGATGGAAAGACGCAAGTTAACTGTTGTCAACTTTAGCCTTACATCGAGTCACTAAGTTACCGTCAACGTCTTCAATTGAAATCATTGAATCAGGATAAATAACTTTCAATTTGTCTGATAATTTAAAATGAAACTGAATGTAAATGTTGATCAAAAGCAACAAAAGTTGACTGCAATGATTAGGTAAATGGACAATTCATTTTGAGTGTGAAAGGGAAAAGGTGAAAGCTGGAAACTTTTCATGTTTCCGTGAAACTTTTTATTCTGATTATGTGTTAATGTGCCAATGAGAAGGGCAATTCATTTGTCTTTATTATGATTAATTGTGATAAATTAATTAATAAGAAATGTCACTTTTTTTGCTTCCAAATAACTGAAAAAGATGAAACTTGTAATAAACAAACAGCCAATAATTTTGACATTTTTTTCAATGTTAATATATTTAAAGGTTAATACATTACGTTATTAACGTTTCACCTCAAGGTTTGATCTTGTTTTACTTTTTTTATGTATTTTGCACTTGATGCTGCTCTTGATGGTGATGATGATGATGATGAGGTTTGAGGTTGCCAAATTAGATCGCTTACAGGCAGGCTGAATATTGCCGTAAGCTGGTTGAATATTTGGCTTTTAATAACTTGCACCGATCATGATGATAATGATAATCACTTTCAATTTCAAAGGTAAACATTTAAACAATACTGGCGATGAAAAAAATGCCTTTAATCTGCGAACACCAAACATTTACATTTTCAACGAACACCGATCAATATCAGAATTGAAATTTAATCTTTAAATTGTTCTGAACATTCAATTCATTCTTCTTTTTATCGTAAAATCGAAAGAATAAAGTTAAAGACGAAAAATGCAAAAATCAAAGCAACACTTCAACAACACTTGAACCTGTTTCGATCTTTCGTTCGCTCGAAATTTGCTCAACTTGGTCAACCATCAAGAATACCAAAAGTAAAAGTCGATTTCATTCTCAAAACGAACTTTTTTCCGTCAAAAAATCAAAGAAATATTGAAATTTGTCAGAACTTTTAAAAGTTTCGAATCTCCAGTTTTCGAAAGTTTTTGTTTCGATGAAATCTATTTTCTAGAAACGCAAAAGTTTGTTGAATTTTCCATTTTTCATTGAAATTCTTAAAGTCTAACTTTTCTAACTTTAGCGTTAAATTTAGGTCAACGATGGACTTTAAATATCGAGTCATCTTTAGACTCTCCAATGTTCATTGAATGGTCAAAGTTGAGAGTTGATTGTGAGTTTGGTCAGCTTGTTGGAAAACAATTGTCCAACAGTTGAACGAAAAAGGTAAGTTTACCTTTTCTATTTGGCGCACATTTTACCTGTTTGACCTTGTTGGTGTTTTCATTTTACTTGTTCAATACAATTGCACATATTAATGCAACAGTTAACGGTCAATCTTAAGATGATCGGTCAACATTTTTTTTTGTTTTCCTTTCTTACTGTTGTTTCCATTTTGGCATTAAATATTGTTAACAATTGAATGTTGGTTAACAATTATCATTACATCATTACACTGTATCAGGGTATTATCATGTAAACTATACTTTACATGATAATTGGAAAAACAAAATTTCGATTCAATTCTTTGCTTTGGTCAACATTCACTTTCATTCATTCATTCACTTTCGCCACTTTCAACTGTTTAATTGCTCAAAGTTAATCGCAATCGACAAGGTTATTTATTGAAACTAAACAAGCTTTTATTCAATCAGTGAAAAGAATAAAAATAAGCATGAAAACTCTGAATAATCGGAGAAATCACATTCTCTCATCTTTCAACTCCCTTCCAGCATCCTTGTCCTCTTTCCTCATTTCACTCTCATCTTCATCTTCATCTTCATGTTGAAATTTTTCAAGGTATTTCATGAAAGAACGGATTAAAAATGTTTCCAAATGTTTCATCATTTAAATGAATTTTCATGTAAATGTGCAAGTTTTGAAAAAGGCGCTTTTGGAAAAAAACATTTTTCGATTTAAGTAAATCATTAAAGATCATTAATCAATCTTTTCATTCACTTTTCGTAGTTTCGTTTACGTTGAATTAACGTTACTTTTAACGGGAAAAAAAAGATTGAAGCTGAAAACCTGTTTTGGGTGAAGAGACGATTGGTTGTTTCGATTCACTTGAAAGGTCATGGTTAGGTTATTAGACTTGTTGATAATAATGTTATCTGTTTGTGATTCATTTTGATAAAATACACCAATAAATGATGAACAACAGCATGGTGAGAATGAAAATCATTTGAGTGAAAAGTTTATTGAGCCTTATTTGGTTACATAAATATAAATTTATACCAGAGAAGAAGAAGAAGAATGAATAAAGAAGGAAACTTTTTCTCTCTTTTCTCTCTTTCTTTTCTTCTCTCTGCTCTCTCAGTGAGTTCATCATTCCTGAATATTCAGTGTAGGAGGTTAACTTGAACCATTCAATGAATGAACAGATTAACATTTGAAGTGAAAGTAAAGAGATGGAAGACGGGAAAAAGTGGAAACTCAGGGAAGGCAGAAGAAGGCAAAAGAAGGCAAAAGAAAAGTTTACCAACTTTCCATTTCAACAGTTGGGATAATTTACTAATTAGTCAATTGGATTGATTACTATCAAAGGGTTACACTTGTTATTATTGTCTTTCGCCATCTTCATAGGAAGTCACCTATTCTGTTAACCATCAGTTTTTATCATCTTTATCTTCCTATCTGTCTGAGTTTTTCACCCAAAAAATTGTTTCCACTGTAACTCATTAGCTTCCGGACTTGCGTTATCATTGTTTCATTGTGTGTTCAACCATCATTTAGTGTTAATCAATCGTGATGAAAGGTAAAAGGCTGAAAGTTTGAAAATGTTGGCGCCAAAAGAAAATGATTAGCATTTCAATTTTTGGCTTTTTTCAATTTTTTTCAGTGATTTCGCTTTTTAAATGTGAATAGACTTTTTTACCTTGGATTAGTGTTTAGGAAACTTTGATTATGATGATGATTGTGATGAGGATGAAGGTGGTGGTGATAAATTTTGGCAAATTTTGTGATTGAGAGGGAAAAAGATGAATAATAAGTTGATTCATCAATTGTTGGGGGTTTTTTATGCGTCTTTAGCGGATAAGGAGAAGCTGAATTGGCGCAACAATTTGTGTTCACACTTGTATTTACTGTTTGTGAGAGTGAGATGGGTGAAGAGGGAGAAGATGAAGGGAAGAAGAGAGAAGATGATAATGAAAGTGAGCTATTTCTTTACATTTGGAGACTTTATTCACATGGGAAAAACTGTAGGACCAGTTATACGTTGAAAGGTTTTGCTCTCCCTTCCTCCCTCTTTTCATCCTCATCATTATCATCTCACTCTCAGTCTAATCATTCACAAATTTCCGTTTATCTTTCTTCTCCCTCCTCTCTTGCTATCATCCGGCCAAGGAAGGGGAACATAAAATGGAAGAGAAAGAAGAAGAAGAAGAAGAAGAAGCAAGAAGAAGGTATATAAAGATGATGTTGAGTTTTGTTGAGCAAAGAAAAGTAACTTTTTAAATGATCAACTGATGAAGAGAAGAAGAGATTGTGTAGGAGAATGATGATGAAAATGATGATGATGATGAGTGAGTTGGGCACTCGTCACCATGGGAAATTATTTTGGGTTCACAATCATAATCATGTTGATAAAGTTTCTTCTATGAAGGCGAAGCGCCCTCAAGTTTTTAGGTGAAAAGTTATGGGCAAAGTGTTGGTTTATTGCAAGGGAAGGACTGAGGGTTTGTGGGGTTGATGTTGGTTGGTTAGAGGAGATCTGACGAGGTACAACAAGTCTAATGGTCTTCATTGAAACAATGAAAAGGTTCAGGTGATTATTGTTACATGCAACTTATGATCACTTGGAGCAATGGTATGCATAACTAAATTTAGGACAAAATTTGTATGTTATTGATCATCATCATCATCATTGTAACCTCTCTCTTTTTTATCTTCTCTTTTTCCCCCTTTTCTCTCTCAATAATCATTTATATAATCATATCCAAAGAGTAATATCTGTTTACTGAAAGAGTCAAGGTTTTGTGTTAATATTAAAGTTACGAGTAATCAGCGCACGCTATTAGCTTATTATTCAATTGTTGAAATTAGCTTTTCCTTTTCACTCATTTGTTTATGTGTTAAATTTACCTTTATCATCCTTTTATCTTCTTTTCGGTGAAGATCGAACACTCAATTCAGAATAAGAGTGAAACAAATCGATATTTAAAAGCTTCGATTCAAAATCGATCATTACATTTTAGATTTGAATGAGTTTGATTTTTTAAAAAATCGATTACTCGAGTTGAGATCGACTGTAATATCATAATGATTCATTGAAGTGATTGAATTAAATCTAAAGTTCTTAATGTTGCTATGAGTTAATCCCAAGTTCATTGAAAGCTTGATCTGTAATCAATCTCTTGATCACTCATTTATTCAATCTTTTAATCTTTTCATTTTTTCAAGCTGAGAATCGAGCTAAAAATCGTCAATTCTTGTAAACCAAACGAGCCAAAAATGTCTAAACAAATGGTTCGACAGTTGAGATACAATTGACAAACATAGTCCAGTCTGAGCTTACAAGTTCAGAAGGTTGATTCAATAAAACTTGATCAGAATAAGGTAAAAACATAACAATTTAATTGAGTTATTTAGTGATACATAATTATTGTCTTTGAACGCTTTTCATAATCGTTTTGGATTGCAATTACAAAGCACAAAATGACAATAGTGAATCAAAATTGAACATATTAATCAAATGATTAAACGTCAGTTAAAGAGATCAGAGGTTTAAATCAAATATTTAATCAAATTGTGAAGACAGGAGTGAAAAGACAGAAACCACAAAGAGATTGACAAGCAAACGTAAAAACACCATTCCATTGATTTGTTGGTGAAACCTTTTGATCAACGCGACTGTGGCGCTTCCTCGTCAAAAGAGTTAAGCCTGAAATCGAAAAAAGAAACGCAATTAGAGTTGCGAACCAAATCAACAGACAAATTAAACACAAATTGCTAGACGAATAATCAATTATCTTGGACTTATTATCCGACATTAAACTGTTCATTCCGTCATCTATTCACAGTCAATATCGTTAACACTTTCAGTTATGAATTTAGTTATTCAGTAAAGACAGTTGATACTCACCCACAGCATTGGCTTTTGGCGAAACAGCAAACGACATTACGTCCAGAGTAAGTACTGTAATCGTCACAAGTATCACAGGCTGTCGTGTTGCCAACGAGAACGAAGAAGGCTTCACTCGATGGAGTTGACGAGATGATTAGGAAGGAAATAGCGATTACAAGTAAACTGTAAAAGACTAATTTATTCATGATCGGAGGATGAACAGACGATCGCAAAGATTTCAAGTGAAGCAAAAAATGAAGCAAACAAAAGTTTAATCAGATCAATGAACAAATCAGTTGTTATGAACGGCTTTGATAGTTTACGAAAACAATAACGAAATGGGAAAAAAAGGTAATTCAAATGTTTCTCCCTGATTCTCAGTTTGGACACAAATTAATGTTGACTAAAAAAAGTTGCTGATGAATCTAAAGGGGAGTCAAGAAAAAAAAGATGTTATTTATGTGTTGGTTATTAGCGTTGTAAAGGAAAGAGATCGTCAAAAATAATTTAAAAATAGAGTCAAACTTTTCTTACCTGAAGCTTTCAGCTCAAAAATAAAAGTCGAAACATGTTTCCTCTTCTCCGCCCTCAACCCTCCTCATTTTCCCCTTTACCGAACAATCGTTATCAAAATATTTTCATCATTATTCGTCAAATCTATTTGCTTAATTTACTTCTCAACGATTATCAGTCAGTCATGAAGCTATCAGTTTCATCGACTTCAATTGTTGGTCCACATTTAGGTAACTCACCTAAACCCGATTACATTCAACGAGACATTCGAAGTCGATATTTTTCGATATCAAGTTTTCACGAATAAACTCTTTACCGATGCTGGCCGATGTTTTGGACCAACTCTTGATTCTGCTTTTGTTTTCATTTTAATTGTTTACTTGTCGATGTATCTTTGCTGTTTAATTGTTACCTCAATCAGGTCAACTTGAATCAACTTGCGAAATGATCTCCTTTTTTGTTGTTGCTTTTGTTGACCAGTTGTTTACTTGTTGACCTCAACCACATTTTTGTTTTTACCTCATTCTATTGGTTTACCAATTAATTTGTTGATTACAATTTAAACAAATTTTGATTCAACAATCAAACCAACAAAAGACGAAATGTCATGTTTAACAACAAAAAAGGTAAATGATTAGTAAATTGATTTAAAGAATCAACTGAATGATAAAGAAAAACATTGAACAAATATTGATATGAATAATAAAACTCATAAACATATCAATAACTGATAATAATAGACAGCTAAATAATATTTAAATTACAATTATGTTGAAATGTTATTTTAATTTGCAATCAAAATCTCAGTCTATAAATAGACATTAAAAAAATATTAACATTCAAAGCTTATAAATAGCAAAAGACAATTAAAGCTTTCATTTTGATGAAAACATTGATATTTACCAGATTTACCCAAATTTACCTAAATTGTCGTCATTCCAAACATCTTCCTACTGATCATCATAACCATCATTAACCTTTCCAGTAATAATAAAAGGTCAAGAAAGAGTAAACTAAAGGAAACAAAAAGGTAGGCCAAGAAAACCCAAAAAATGGTTTTCAATTATTCGGTTAATTCTGGTTAATTTGCTTGTCAGCGTCCTCTGGTGACTTTATTTTCATCTAAAATGGTTTTACCTTTTGGTTGGTTAGAGTTGATTAAAAAGCATAAAGTGAATCAAGTTGTCTATTATATCCTTATCTTGATGTTATCATTTATTAAAATGGGTAAACACGCAGAATCATGATGAGTGATATTTTTAATGTTTTTCCATGTTGAAGATGATAATGATGATAATCATCATTAGTATAAGTTTTATGACATTGATAGTAAATTTGTTCAACTATTTACCATAAGAAGGTTGAGCTTTTGTTCAGTTTTTTTTGTTCAGTGGAAAAGTTGAATAAGGAAAAAAGTAGAGAAGAGAAGGGAAGAGAAGACAAAATACGGTAAAGATGATGATTGTATCAATAAATAAAACAACAATCGATCAAGAGGTTGGCTGAATGGAAGATGAAATTAGATAATGAATATCATAATTCTCGTTCTGGAGACAGACTCAGACTGTTTTCATCGTATAATCAGCTGATTAAAGTTGATTACGTCAAGAAGCTAAGCTTGGTGAAGATAGCTGATGACGATTCCATAAGAGTCTTGCGTCATGACTTTTCCCTTTTATCCTCTTTCACCTTTAAGTTAACTCTTTACATTTATTTTTTTCCACTTTTTTTCTCTCTTCCATTTCTTCATGATCATCTTCATGAATCTAATGGAGCAGCGACATGAATAGTAAGGTGAAAAGAGAGAGGCACAAAAAAAGTAGGATCAAGATGAACAAATAACTCTTACCTTGTCATCATCATCATCATCCTTTCGTTGTTGTTAACCAGTCAATATGAGCTCCGGATGTGTTGTTACATCAGCCTCGGGCAAGTTTATGTTCAACTCTTTTTTTCTCTTCTCTATCTTATTCTGCTTCTCATGATAATACGAACTTCTTTTTTATCTCTTTTCTCAGATTCATTGCTTTCGGCCATTTTGCTCTTTCGAGACAATATCGACAATCCAAAAATTTAATATTTTACGAAAACAACTTTACTCTTGAATTTGTCTTCCTTTCTCTTTTCATTATCTTCATCACCTTGATCACCTTTACACTTGAAGATGCGACTTTTCCACTTTCCCTGTCTTCTCACCATCAACTCTTTCCAACAGGAAGATGAGACTTTGAACAGATTGTTTCTTCTTCTTTTTCATCATCTTTTCATCTTCTCTCCTTTCAACCCTTTCTTGCTCATTTCATCATTTCCTTAGCTTCTGTTAACCTAAAAGCGTTCACTTCTTGTTGATAGTATTTGTAAATCTCCCAAATGAGTTGCCATGTTGACAGGGAAAAGTGGTGTTCATGTTAACCAGAAAAGATTATAAATGATCAATGATAAATCAAGTGAATGTTTATCTGTAAACATTTGTTCTGTCCCTTGATTTTGACTTTTTTTACTTTGACTCTGGGTTTGACTTCAATTAAAGAGTGTTGATTAAATGCAAATTAAGAAATGATTTGTCAATTGGTGAACGTGATTGTTGCATGATAATCATGGGTGTGATGAGGCAAAAACAAGTAAGCAAAAGGAAAAGGCAACAAAAGGGAAAAAACACAAATGAAAAGGCATTAAAAAAAAGCTCACCGAGAAGAAGAATAAAGAGAGAAAATTTTGTGTTGGTCTCAAAAAATAATATATGAGCAGCTATTTGACGATATTCATGATGATGAAGGACGCAAATGAGAATCAAGCTTGACGACTTGTTAAATTGTGTGCAATTTTAATAAGCAAAATGATAAAAGTTTAGTGGAAAAGTGTAAGATGAAGAAACCGAGTCTTTCTTTTTTCTCTCTCTTTCATTTTCCTTCTGTTCAGTTTCATGTTAACTTCATTACGGGTGACCTTAAATAGCATTGTTTATGTTGCAAATTGAAGGACAAAATGAACAGCAATGGAAACGCTCTTAGACTTTACCTCTTACTTGGGATCAAAAATTTGGACGATTTTACCTTTTTTTTGCGTTGGATGATCATCAACATTTATCTGATGTAATGATGATGATGCTTGTCCTAATGATGATAAGGATGAGAATGTCAAATGAACATATGTGAAGTGAATGGCGATGAAACCAGAAAGAAAGGAGAAAAGTGAAGATTCCATGGAGACAGAGAGGAAAGAGAAGATTGATTAAATAGACAGAGGAATGATGATGATGATGAGGCTGCCTGGGACAAGAGTGAGATGATAACCTTGACTGGATCATAGGAAAGTCTCCTTTTCACGGGTTTCCCAATAAATCAGTTTCAATGTTGAAACAAACATGTTGAACTTTTTTTTTGTTTAAAGTTAAATATTTTGTCCAAATTTTGCTTTTATTGCCTTTTCCACTCTCAATGTTTCTCTACTGAAAATTGATTCTGGTTTTAATTTTCAATTGAAATTGTTTTATCTTTTCATTGGAAAGGCTTCATTATTATTGACAGTTGTCTATTGCTATGGTTTATGGTCAATATTTACAGCCAATTGACCAATATTTAGTTTAAACTATTAATAACTTTACTCTTGGACTTATTCAAATGAACAGATATTTGATCCAATTGCGTGTCTAAATATAAATTATTGTTTTTATTGTGTTTGCTTTTAACATCTAAATAGTGATCAAGGTTAATCGTGAATACACTTCATTGATTAAGGTAGACAACTTTTGCTGTTAACACACAATTCAATGGTTTAATGAAAAAAAAGTATCATTAGTCGCTGAATAATGTGAAGGTTGAGGTGGAAAAATGTCGACTCATTCAGTGTCCAGTTAAGGTGACGATTGAGCTTTCAATCATTTATCAAGAATCGAATTTCGAACTTGAAATTTGGTCCAAAATTTTCGGATAAAATTATTGAAATGAAGGAAAAAAAAGTTCGACTTTTGAAGATTTTGTTTTCATTTTGTTGACTAAATGTTGCGACAAGAGATGTTTTCCTTTCGTTGAGTTAGACAGAGAGCTTGGAATGAAGAGAAAGAAAAATTTGGTTAACCTTTCTTTTTTGTTGTTTAGCTGTTTATAAACAGTTGATCAAAGGATGATCAGGGATGATCGAGATGAGAAGGATCAAGAAAAAAGAGTTTCTTTTTTTTAATAAATTGAGACGATCTTTTACTTTTGTACCATTTAATGGGCTTATTGGCCAGAAATGTGAAGACACACAAAAAGGTTTACCTGTCAATTGGATGATAATGATGAGAATGAGGATGAGGTTGGAAAAGAAAGAGAAGATAAAAGGAAGAAAGAGAAAGAAAGGGTCAATGATCCTGGTGGCTCCACCTGTTATAACTGATTATTTCATTTATAATACTTCCGAGATGATGATGATGATGATGATAAGTGTGATGATAATTGTTGTTTCCTTTCCATCTTCTGACCTCAGGTCATTCCTTTCTTTCCTTTTTTTCTTTCTCTTTTGTTTTCTTCCAACAATTTAAATCTTATTCACTTTCAATTCAGTTCATTTGTTTCATTTTGTGTTACCTTTTTTTACGTGTTTTGTTTGAACATTTTTTGTGTTACTTTTTTATCATTTCAATTGCAATATATTGAATATTAACTTTTTTTTCATATTCATTTTAGGTCAATACGATTTGAATCTTTTTATGCCTTTTTTATTTGTATTCAAAGTGTTTTGACAAAAAAGGAACAAAATGAAATGAAAATTGAACAAATGAAACAATTAATTCATGATAAAAGTTGAACAAAAAAATGTAATTATTGAAAAGTGGGAAAACAAATTTAGTTGAAAAGTTTTTAAATAAAGTTGACAACAGCGCCATCTCATTCCGAGTCATGCGAGTTGGTAAAGTTGAGAAAATTGTTTTTCACCAACCTTTTAGGTTATCTACGAAACAAGAATTTCATGATGATTATGGTTGA